GAGAGAGAGAGAGAGAGAGAGAGAGAGAGAGAGAGAGAGAGAGAGAGAGACCCTAGTAATAAAAACAGACATCTATTAGCTCTTTGGTTTTAGCTTGATGAGACCCATCTGGCACTTCTAACCTATGGAACTCTAAGCAAAATCAGGTATTAAGTCAATATGTTGGTGGTCACTTCTGATAGCAATAGAAAAATAAAATGGAGGAGGTGTCAAAGTTCAGAAAGAGTATGGTCTGCTATTAGAGCCAACAGGAAAAAAAAATGTGACTTTAAAAGTAAGCCAAGCTTACACTGGGCATGGGGGCACATGCCTGTAGTCCCAGCACTCAGAAGGCTAAGGCAGGAGGATCTTTGTGAGTTCGAGACCAGCCTGGGCTACAAAGTGAGCTCAAGGCCAGCCTGAGCTTCATAGTGAGACCTTGTCTCAAAAAGACAAAAATAAAATAAAATAGAAAAGGTAATCCAAGCTCAATAACAATGTAATTAACTTCAATACTCAGAGAAGGAAGCTGGAGATGAAAACAGCAGGAAAAAGATTATTATCTGTGTGGTAGTTGACTTTGGAAGATAGTTGTATTTTTTTTTTTTTTTATGCTGGCAGAGATCTGAACGCTTCTTAATGTTAAAAAGTGAGAAGAGAGGTTGAAGAGGAAAGGAAAATGAAGCAATATTGGAAGAAATAAGGAGTTGGGATGCAAAGCACAGGAGGCAAAACTAGTCTTGGAGAGGGAAATGCCTTAGTTACTTTTCTCACTGTTGAGACAAAATACCTGACACTCTGAAGAATTAAGGGTTTATTTCAGCTCACAGTCTGTAGAGCTTTCAGTTGGCTGGTTCAGAAACACAGTAGCATGGCAGAGGGGCATTGAAGAGCAGACACAGTCCATAGCAGGCAGGTAGGCAGGCAGCAAGCAGCCAAAGCTGTGAGCAGCAAGCCTGCCTGATTTCTGTCCCTCTATAGTCTATCCAAGCCCAAGCCTGGGCTTTGAGCTCAGGTGCAGATAAAGACATTATTAGCTGGATAATACATCAGTGAAAGATGATAATGACCTCAGAGTGACAAAGGATCCCTGTGTACACAGATTGCTTAAAAGCACTTGTCTTTATTTTTTTCAATCTTTCAGAGAGAATTAGATGTTAAATCCAGAAGGTTTGTACCCAAGAAAAATGAGCAATTATTTCTGAAAAAAAAGTGAGTTAAGCTTCTATTGAGTACTGGTTTTGCTGGTAAACAAAAGGAAAAGTATGAGTGGTAGTTTTGGTGATCTCTAATTTCCAGTGTTGGGAGGTTTTGATGTGAGTGTGAAAAAGTAGTAGTGACATTTGTGCGGAAACTGATGGATAGACATTTTAAAGTATAAAGCTAAGTCATCCTTTAGCATCAAATGAAATGTTATTATAATAGGTTTTGACTGATGTCCAATTGAGTCAGTCAGTCACTAGGTCTTTTAAACTCCCAAGTGCGCATCCTTGTTTCAAATGCAGCCTCTTAGAGCCCTGCCCCAGACCTAATGAATCTGAATCTGTACTTCAGTAAGACTGATTGGTAATTGGTGTGCACACTTACCTCTTAAAGCACTACTTCACTTTCTTCTGCTCATTCAATCATGATATTTATTGGCTGGTGTCAACTGTATGAGAAATATCAGTAGATTAGTCGTACAAGAATTTAATGGTGAGCAATTTACTAATTTAAACTAAATTTATAGGGCTTGCAAGATAGCTCAGTGGACTAAGCACCTGCTTTGGTAACACAGGGACCAGGGGTCAAACCCTGCTCCTACATGCCATGCTGGCCCCGCCCCTGGGGTACACTGAGCCAGTGGCTGAGTCCGGGTGTGGTGGTGCACACCTATAATCCCAGCACTGGGGAGGCTGAAAACAGGAGGATCACTACAAGTCCAAGCTGCATAGTGAGACCCTGTACCAAATACATATAATGGAAAATCAATCAATAAATAAAATGTTTACATTCTTGATTCTTTTTAAATATCATTCATTTATAAGAATTTTATTTCCAATAATGCAGTTTAAGAATGGTATTTTTGTTTGGTTGGTTGGTTCTGTGTTTTGAGATGAGGTGTTACTGTGTTGCCCAGGCTGGCATTGAACCCATGGCCTCATGTGAGCCTCTAGCCACTACCTCCCCAGCAGCTGGGACTATGGGTGCATGCCACCACACTTGGCCTACAATTATTATAATTTTCAAATTTCTCAGAGTTTCAAATTGTCATAATTTGACTACTTACACCTAAGTAACACCTTTCTTCAGGATATTCTTTCATAGTAATTTATTCTCATGCAATGCCTCGACAGCAGGACTTAGAACAGTTAAATAGAAAAGAACTATATAGTCTTAAATTCCCTAAATCCCTCTAACCAGGGTGACAAAAATCTAGGCCAGAAAGATTCAGGGAAAATAGATATGAAAAGTCATCTGGGAGTAACAACATTGAGTGTTAAGCTTTCTAACTGAGGTTCTGTCAGATGAAGACTGATTTGATTTCCAAATTAGTACCAAGGCCAAAGAAAGCTATCAATCTGAGCAAGGACAGCAGCCTAATACATCAGTTCTTTCACAGAAAAGAAAAACAAGTAACTATTCAGAAATCATTCACCATCAGGATATAGTTAATCAAATATATCAACCTGCTTTCTTTCGTATAAAGAATCATCAGGCATTAAGCACCACAGTGCTGACTGCTAATCTAAATTAGACTTTAATTAGACATAATCTGTTATGACTCTACTGCCAATTCCTAGCTAATGCTTACATTTGTATGTGTTATTTGGGATTTTTAGATCTTTGGATACTTCTCCACTGAAACAGATTCTCTTCCTTATCAGATGGATAAAGAAAATTTGGTTTTTCTGGTGTCAAAAAAACAACGAATTGCAACTTCAGGTGACATTTTAAATTTCCTTTTTAAATTAGTATGAGTTTAATATTTTTTCCAAAATAAATTTTGCAACAACTCAATTTCTATTAAATCATATTTTCTTTTATTTACTTGTTCAATTCTTCATAAATGGGGAGGATATTACAGTTTTAATAGAAATTATGCCTGCCATTGAAATTGAAATATTACCATTGCTCCAAGGAAGACTAAATAGCAAAAGTTAAAGTTAAAACATTTATATTTTCCTGACAAGGCCCAGACCTCAACTGAACCTCTCCACCATGGCATCTCAATAACGCATGCTCAGTACCAAAGAGAATTACATGTGTTTAATCCCTGAAATTAAGATTTCAAGTTAGGGGCCAGTGAGATATAGCTCAGCTGACTAAGCACCTGCTTTGGCAAGCTCAGGGACCAGGGTTTGATTCCTGGTCCCGCATGCCACACTGGCTCCGCTCCCAGGGCTCACTGAGCCAGAGACTGAGTCTTGACATGGTAGCACACACCTGTAATCCCAGTGCAAGGGAGGCTGAAAACAGGAGGATCATTATGAATCTGAGCTACATATTGAGACCCTGTACCAAATACATAAATGAAAAAAATGTTTTTAAAGATTTCAAGTTAGGACTTCTCCCCATACTCTCACCCACCCTCAGTTATGTTGGACAGGCTTGCTTATGCTTCTGAAATCATGAATTTGGTCAGTCACAGAGGGACACTATCTCAGCTTAGGAAGTTTCCAGTTCATATGTTTCATCTGTTTTCCAATTTAGACGGGGGAACCTGAAGATACCCAAAACTCTTCATTGTTGACACTTTGGATTTTCTCTCTCCTTTTTCACCTATTGATCCCAAGAGTCACCCCTGTCTTCCAGTATTCCGCCCCATAGTCCTGGGTGCTCAGTCTAGGTTATTTAGAAACCTGGAGTTTTGATCCAGTGAGGTAACTCAGTGGACTCAGTACCTGCTTAGGCAGGTGTAGCGACTGCGGTTTGATCCCCAGCTCCACATGCCATGCTGGTCCCACCATCAGGCACGCTCAGCTGGCTACTCAGACCAGGCATGATGGTGCATACCTGTAATCCCAGTGCTGGGGAAACTGAGACAGGAGGATCACTATTAGTCCAAACTATGTAGTGAGACCCTGTACCAAATACATTTTTTAAAAAAGAAAAAGAAAGGAACCTGGTGTTTCTTAAAGCACAGGACATCTTTCAGTCCTTTGTGAACAAAGCCCAACTTTATCCTTGACATTTACTTAGCCCATCCACAATTCAGGCTCTGGTCACGGAACTGTCACAAAAGAACAAATGCAAAAGATCTATCTCTGCTGAGCTGAGGCATTGCTAGAGCTCAGAAGAGGAATGGCATAGCATCTTCAGGATTTTGAAAGCATTTTTCTAAAGAGTAACTAGGTTCTACAGTTCATTTTTGGGCTGGCGAGATAGCTCAGTAGAATAAGGGCTTACCTGGCAAGCGTAAGGGCCTGAGTTCGATCCCCAGTTCTGCAAAAAAAATAAAAAGAAAAAAAATTATATAGTTCATTTTTCCCTTAATGTGTGTTAAGATCTCCACTCTGGGCTGAGTAGCTTTCCAAGTGCTGAGGACACAGCAATGACAAAAAAGGCATAAATATCAGACCTCATGGAATTTACAGTCCCACAGGAAGAGACAAACACAAATATCAAGCAAATGACACATAAAGTATGTCACATACTGTGAAATAAAGAAATGAAGTTAGATAGTAGAGAAAAATCAAGCAGGAATGCAGGAAGGAAAAGTTGGTTTGAATACGGGAGTAGTAAGGTGGTCATGGAAGCCCTGCTGAAAAGAGACTGAGTTTGGAGAAAGGGAGAGAGAGCAGCATGCACTGCAGGCAGAGGGGGACAAGGAGGGACAGACGGTAAGGTTGGAGAGAGAGGAGGAGTCTGTAGGCCACACTAGAGACTTCTGAGTGAGACAGAAAGCTGCAAGAGCATGATGGGTAGAGGGGAAGCGCGGTCTCAGTCACACTGGAAATGTCTATTCTGGCTTCAGTGTTGACGATAGCCTAAACTGGGGAAGGAGTGGAAGCGAAGAGATTGATAGTGGCTCAGAATAGGATAGTGGTTTGCAATCATGTATTTATTTGTTTATTTATTTTAAATGTATTTAGTACAGGGTCTCACTACACAGATCAGACTCATAATGATCCTCCTGTTTTCAGCCTCCCAAGCACTAAGACTACAGGCCCACACCACCACACCCAGTCTCAGTCGCTGTCTCAGAGTGCCCCGGGGGCGGGGCTGGAATGGCAGGCCGGGGATCAAACCCTGGTCCCTATGCCTGCCAAAGCAGGTGCTTTAGTCTGCTCAGCTATCTGGCTGGCCTTTTTTTTTTTTTTTTTTAACTATCAATACCTAAAGACCTTTATTTCCCCAATTTCTCCTCCTACCCAAGCACATTTTGTTCCATGACATTTTAGGTTTTTGTTTTGTTTGTTTTTGTACCAGGCATTAAACTCAGGACCTTGTGCATGCCAGGTAGGTGCTTATGCCACGAGTTCTCTCCCCAGCCCCTCCATGGCATTCTAATATCAGCTATTCATTACTAAGTATATCACATTATATATGGGGTGTGTGTGTGTGTGTGTGTGTGTATCTGTATACACATAAAGAGTAGAACTCATTCACATGCCCCTAACAATTTACACCCTGTTAAAGGGCATTGTTTTTTGATTTTTGTTTTTGTTTTAGAGTTTACAATTATAAAAATTAATTCATCCTGGAAGTGGTTGAACATAAGTGGTTTTCTCATTTAGGACATAAACATAGAAGTATCAAAGGATACAGGCCTTTTTACAAAATGTACAACATTCAGAATACCCCTGATAACAGCACTGAAGTAGTTTCATTCTTTTATACAGCAAACCTGAGGTACTTGTGTGTTTATCCTATTGTAGAACACAATGGTGACGATTCAAAGATTTCTAAGAAATATGAAAAAATTCTCAAAAAGAGATTCCAAAAGATGGCCAGAAAACTCATTCTCTGTGAAATGTACACAACAAATGTGTGTGTATGTTGTATGTGTTTGTGTGTGTGTGTATCTTACATTTTCTCTGTGAGTTCATGTACCATGTTTAGTTGGAGGGCTCTATATATGGAGATTATATCTCTAAGGATTAAAATCCAGCAGTTACTGGGTTTTATTCTATTTAAATTTTAAGTAGCTCAGGGATTTCTAGCAAAATGTTGGTTGTTTTCCTTTTTCTTTCTTTTTTTAGACCAACTTCACAAATGAGTTGTAGGTTTTCCATTGCTGGGAGTTTAAATGAATATTATACTATTGACAGGTAGTAGAAGACGAGATGTGATTAAGTGCATCGTCAAGATTCCCCAACTGGATCTACTAATAACAGCTTCTCAGAAGGGATTAATAAGAGTCTTTAACAGCCAGGTAACTCATGTTTGTTCCTCTTCTTTCTTTCTTCCTCCTTCCCTGTCTCCTTTCTTCTCCCCATCTCTTTTGTCTGTGCCTTATGCATGTTTCATGAAATAGAAATCAGATTTCAGAGATATGACAAAAACTTTTAAGGAAACCAAATAATAATGAGATTGCTGAGCTCTGGGAAAACACTTCAAAATTTATTTTTATTGGCGTATGTTTGCAGTGCATAGTGATGACATTCCTTGTGGGGAGTGCTACATGTACTTAACACATCTTGATGTGTTTTTTGCCTCCTTCCCTCCCTTCCTCACTGCCTAGCTCTTGGCCTCCCTCCCTTTTGCAAGATATCATTCTCCCTATTTCCAATTATCCAGCTTTTTTTACTCTTTATATATTGAACTTCTCATGTATAAAGTCACAGTACATTTAAGTCTGTGTGTCTGATTTATTTCACTTAACATTATGTTCTTAATCCATTTTCCTAAAAATGAATCAAATTTATCTTTTTTAATGGAAGAGTGGTACCTCATGATGTATTACTGTGTGGGGACAATTATTTTGATTTTGGTAACTGCATGTGGCCTGTCCCTCAGGCATGTTAAACCACATGATAATTAAAAGATGAACCTAGACAATTTGTCACATGAAATCAGGAGCACACACAAACCAAGTGATTTTTGTCATCGTCCAAACATGGAATGAAAGGTCCTATCGAGAACCTTGGACTTGGTGTTAATAAAATGGGTTTAATTCTGGCCCTTCTATTTAATTAGCTATTATGGTAAGTAGGAGTTTAATAAGCTATTTACATCTTCTCATATCTCTTTTTTTCACATCTATTCCTCTCTGTCAGATTGCAATGCAAATCAAATGAAATAATGAATGTAGATGCACTTTATGCACAGTTAATTCCTGTACAAGTGGTAGGCATTGCTGTTATCCTCTCTCGCTCTCTCTCTCTCTCTCTCTCTCTCTCTCTCTCTCTCTCTCTCACACACACACACACACACACACATACACACCAGGGATCAAACTCAGGACCTTGTTTTTGCCAGCCAGGCACTTATGCCACTGAGCTATCTCCCCAGGGCCATACCCAAGCCATTTCTTTTCAGATTTTTAAGTTTTGGACTTTGTTTTCAAAACACAAGATTTTAAAGGAATGTATGATGATATAGTCTATATACTATTTCACTACAAAAATTAAAAGGTGAATTTTTAGTGTTAAACAAATTTTAAAAATTCTAATTACTTCATTTCCAACCAGTGATAAGCTTTATACAAGTAAACAACCATTTGAAACAACCATCACATGATTAAAGTTTCCACAATAATTTTTTTTTTTTTTTTTGTATTTTAGGGTAGGGTCTACAGGGTGTTCAGGGTCTTACTACTAGATCAGACTCATAGTGATCCGCCTGTTTACAGCCCCCCAAGTTCTGGGATTACAGGTGCACGCCACCACACCCAGCCACAATTGCTGTCTCAGTGCACCCCAGAGGCAGGACCAGTACAGCAGGTTTGGGGATCGAACCCCCGGCCCCTGTGCCTGCTTGCAGGTGCTTTAACCTGCTGAACTATTTGGCCAGCCCTCCACAATAATTTTCAACCCTGCAGTAACACTCAGTTCAAGGAATCTTTTGAAAGCGGACATCATAGACAATCAGATGCCTTAGGCGACAGGGCAGGATGGCCCTGGAGGTCAGGCACTGGTGATTTGGGTGTGGGCTTGGAGCCTGGTTCCAGCTTAGCACAAGCACAGCTGTGGACATCTCCTGGTCCTGGTTCCTTTTCTAGAACCAATCTTCCCTCCAAAGACACTCATGCTGGTTGAATAAGTGCCCGCAAAGGGCTTAACATCATTGTAAGCACCCAGTACTGTCATCAACTGCTATTACGAAAAAAATGATGCAAAACCAAAAAAATTATTTTCTTCATTTCACATAAAAACCTTCCTGAACTCCTTTTTTTCTTAGTGTATCATTTCCCATCTCACTTTTTACTTTTATGTCTTCAAAAAAGGAACTAAGATGTTATCCAAAAAGCAACTGAGGAAGAGGATAATGAAATAGTTGCATGCTGTATGAAATAAGTGTGGTGGCATTGCTGTACTTCCAGAGATGCTTCACACACACACACACACACACACACACACACACACACACACAGGCTTATAGATGCACACATGTATACTCACAAACACATCCATTTTGATTAAAGCAATGCAAATGAAGAGAAAAAATTGCTTAAAATTAGTTATTTTAAGATTTGATGCACCAGGAATAGGTAATGTTTTGGATGTTATATGACTTACAAAGGAGATGACACATTGTGTGAGAAAAATACTATGGAAGTGTAATTCACAGGGATAATTTGTTAAAATGTAGCCACTAATAACACTAGCTAAATATATTTTAATAGATTAATTCATATTTTAGGTTGCATCTGAAGTAGAATTAATACAGTTAAACATTTTCTTGATGATATGGAATATAAATACATTTCTGCACAATGAATAAATTTTAGAAACTCAGAAAATATTAATAAGGGTTGGGAAAATTTAAAGGGGTTAAGAGTACCGTAAGTGGGTAACATCCACTAAAGATGGATGTTGGGAAGTAGAAGAGGAGGCTAGTTCTTCTGATCTGCTGCTCAACATTTTGTTTTTCTCATCTGGAAGCAAGTCCCGGGTTAGTAAGGCCTTCTGGAACACTTCAAATGAAAGACAGTCTGTGGGTGGCCACGACACACAATTTTAACTTAACGTTCTCCCTGATCTGTTGTGTTTCACATAATCTTTTCCTTCTGGGAAGTCATTCCCTCAGTGTTTCCTAAGCCCATCTGAGCATGCAAAAAGAAATTGGGTCACTGAGATACTTCAATGATTTGTCTTCAACTTGAGAGAGGCAGCTTGTATCTACTAGCTCTCTGCTTAGGATGAATCTCTCTCAGATGCTCTCCTAGCATGGTATAGTACTTAGGGATAAGTTCTTAGGGATCTGTTCACTTAACAGATACCTGCTGCATAAAAGTGGGTGTCCCTTGAATAGAACATCCTTGAGGACTCTCAATGAGTTGGAAAAATAGCTTTTCAGTGAAACAATGTAATAGTTTTTTGTGCAGCTCTATGTTCACTTTGATCTATTTAACATCCTTTGAACTACATTTATCATTGCTGTTAGTACTTCGCATTTCCCACTTTTGTTATCAAATATTGCTTTGAATAACTAAAGAATGTGAGGTAGTTTGGATGTAAGATTAATAAAAGAATTAGTAAATTGTAGGCTTCATAGAACATAGTCACCAAGTTTAAGGACAAGCTACAGAAGAATAAACCTTGTCCACCACAAACTATGTGCAATATTTCACAAAGACAAGCATTTTGTGGGCAGGAGAAACCGGAAGCTAATGCTAGGTAGAATGACCCGTGACATTAAATCCAGGAGAGATTGTGTTTTCATAGTCATTATCCTCATCTTTTAAATGTGGATGCCAACTATATTTCATTATCCTTTTCTTTTATTCATAGATGAAAGTTCAGATCAGCACCAATATCACAGTAAGTATGCTTTAAACTTGTCTAAGAAAGTAAAACTTAAAAAAAAAAGAAAGTAAAACTTAGAGTTTTCATCAAGTTTTCCTTCACAATTAATCAAAATCTTGATGAACCTGAGTATAAGCTATTTCACAGATTATAGATTTATGTTTATTGAGCAATAGCAAAGAAGACCCAGGTATTGTTTCCTGGAGTTAAACTAGCTACAAAGAATTTCTAGGCTGGTCAGACAGCTCAGCGGATTAAAGCACCTGCTTAGACAGACACAGGGGCTGGGGGTTTGATCTCCAGCCTACTGTGCTGGCCCCAACCCCAGGGCGCACTGAGGCTGCAATTGAAACTGGGCATGGTGGGGTGCACCTATAATCCCAGCACTTGGCAGGCTGAAGAAGGATCAATACAAGTCTGATCTGTATAGTGAGACCCTGTAGACCCTGTACTAAATACATTTTTTAAAAAAGGAATTTCTAAACAACTGTTTATCCCTTACAAAATTCAATTTAAGAACCTCTAAATTTTTTAAGCACCCACTCTTGAGGGATGTAAAAAAGGGACACAATCCAAATTATGAGAACAAGGAGGTACCTAAGGGAAATCATTTCTGAACCATTTCATGTTAAACTTGATAACATAAACAATTCAAGAGCAGTTTTGTAATTCATTTAATTCCTATCATTATGTGCACACCAACATTGGGGCAGATGTAAAGCCATAGAAACCTGATTTCAGAATCCTGCCGTGGGCTCTTCAGAGGCAAAGAAATGTTTGGCTTTTTCACCTTGCTTACGTGCACTGAATGAATCCCCTCTCCTACACAGAGCGGGGTGCAACGCTACCAGGTAGAGGAGACTGGACTCTCCATAAACCTTGGAATTTCCATTTCTTAAAAAAACAGATTCATTTAAAATTCCTAACAGGTCTAAGAAAAGATTCAAGAGCCTGCTTGAACACATGTAACAGTTTCTGGCAAATGAGGTCTTCCTAAGGGAGGGACCTCGTCCCACTGTGTATAGTAGTTATTGTAGATTCCAGCTGTGCCAGCTTGGTGACCGTGGGCAAGATACAGGACAACCTCTGTGGCCTCATTTATAATGGACTGCATGATCACTAAGTTATTTCTAGCTAAAAGTTACAGCAGGCAGCAGGGCCAGAGAACACTTAGTCTCTGTCCTGAACCTAGTCTTTCTTTGCCCATGTAAAGAAGGATATAACCTCCCAGAGGTGGCTGGGTGGAAGCTGCCGCTCTGCCAGCTGCCATGTACGTCAGGGAGCAGTGGCTGTGCTTGCTGAGCTGTCTCCAGCGGATGGTATCGAAAAACTCAGGGTGCTGGTGAAAGGTATGAAGAGGGGAAGCTTTTCTGATGCCGTTCAAATGGGACACATTGTAAGGCTTCTCTGCACAGAGACCTTGAATGTCCATAACCACCACCATGCTGTAAAGGAATATATGCTAACTCCAATTCTATGCTTTTCTGGCAGGATACCTCCTGGATTACCGGATGTGATTACCTCTCCCAGCTGAAACGAATTGTGGCCACTACAGAAAGGACTATCATTGTCTGGGATTATAAATCTCAAGGGAGCAGCCAGGTACTATGCCAAGAGAAATACTCAGAAGAAATGAGGTAGTCTTTCCAGAGTTCATGAAGGGTAGGAGCAGTTCACTTTTCCCAGTGAATGTCAATCTCCTCACATAGAAAATGAAGGGATTTAACTAATCCTTTAGCTCAAGTTCAGCCCTTATATTCTGTAATGAAAAGGGAATGTTTTTCTGATTTAGTATGCATTTCATTCAGGGATTTTGTTTTGATTTTGAGAAGAGAGTAATTCCTCTTTTGTTCATTAGTATTTGCTTACTATATGTAATAATTCCATCCATCCTGGGGAATAGGAACACAGATGAGTCACATCTTAATCACTCAAGTGTTATCTTTCTGGTTATACTTACGTTAGCAAGATGAAGCCTTTCTCTCTTGTCCATCATTGTTGGAGAAAAAATACTAAAATGCCCAAATCTGTCCAAAAAAAAAAGAAGCCCTTCTCTAGCTGAGAGGTCACCCGTTAATCACTCCAGTGATTCTTCAGATTGTGCAGACATTTGAAAGTAATGAACATGCTTCCTTCCCGCACTCAGAAACCATTTGATCTTGAAGGACTTCATGAATAAACATAGCATATAATGTAATGGAACAGCACATTGTGCTATAAAAAGAGGATTGAGAACAATAGGGGCTCAGGAAGAGGTGAGATCGATGAGCAATGGGGATATAGGAAAGCTTGGAAAACAGGCTGACTTTGAAGGACATAGGGGATTAAGAAATTGTCTTAATCTTCCTCCAAGGCTTACCTTTCCCTAGCATCTGTGAAAAACAAAACTTTTAGTACAGTTTGTCAACAGGGGAACCAACTACTGATGCCAAATGATATCAAAGACTGCAGTCTGTTGTTGCTTGGTGTGCTTTATGACACAGTGTGTTATTGTCTCATGGTGTTTTGCACTAGCCTTTGTGCATTTCTGGAACCCTGAACGTCAGTCTGGACTTTGATCATCATTTCTCTCTCAAGCTGTTGTTTTTGCTGTTGATTTTTTCAATCTTGTGATTCCTTGAAGCCTCCTTCTCCAGTCTCCAGGAACCTCTTCCGCTTCCCTTCCTGCCCTCCAACCCAGGAGGATCACCTGGGCTTGTCACCCTTAGCCTCTGCTCCCTTCCACCCATCTTTGGACCCGCATAAGTGATGTAGCCCTTTCTGCCTCTCACAGGGGCTAAGCACTGCTAGAGAAAAGCACAGGCGGTCCTGCTCGGTGTCCTTACAAGCCCAGATCTGCACGCTCAGCAGGGCTCCCAGTGGCTTCTGTCCACCTGGTGCTTGTCCTTGCCAGCTCACTCTCCCAGTCCAGGTCTTCCAGTGTCACTGTCCTTCCCCACCTCTCCCTCTTGGCACATGGAGTTGCCCTTGGTTTCCAGAGAGGACTGACTGTATAATTTGTCCTCTTTCAAAGTCTAGTCCTCCCACCTACTGCTTTAACTAAAACACCTCTACCTCCTTACTTTCTTCCCTCCTCCCTTGGAAGAAAATCTTTGCATGTGACACCCCATCTCCTCCTGTCTTGGCCAGCACTCCACAGTCTTTCCCCTTTCTGTCTCCCTGACGTTTACCTCCTTTTAGGATTTCATCCTCTCAAGCTTCTCTTTGTCTTTCTCTCCATTATTGAGGTCCCAGGTCACTTTACCTGAGCCTGGGAACTAAGAGTCTTCTGCACTTTATACAGATTCTCATTTACTGCCTCCAGTGCATGTCCTGTTATAGGACTGGTTCCACTCTGCTTGTCTTCTCCACCAGCATGGTAGGTCCACAGAGTCGGAAACTGTCCTGTTCAGCCATACTTAGAAAAATTCTTGGCACATGGTAGAAGCTCAGCAAATATTTGTGGAATGACTGAATGAACTTCTCAATATGTACACCTCCTACTCATTCTGATGGAAATGGGACACATTTTTTACCAAAAAAAATTTTTAATATATTTTTTCAGGCCAGGGAGATAGCTTAGCAGCACAAGTGCCTGCCTGGCAAGTACAAGGCCTTGAATTTGATTCCCTATATGGCATAAAGTATATATATATTTTTCTCTTTGTTTTAGAGAGGTAGAAATTCTGAAAGAGCGATAGTTGCATAATTTGGTAAATGCATTCAGTAGTACAAATACATGACAAATGCCTGTTGGATATTTCTGGATAAAGTTGTATGTTGGAATTTTTTTCTGGACATGGGACTTTGGGTGTTTGAGGTTTTTTTTTTTGTTTGTTTGTTTGTTTGTTTTTTCCTATACCTGGTATTGAACTTGGGACCTTGTGCTTCCTAGGTACATGCTTATGCCACTGAGCTGTATCCATTGCCCCTGCATAGGACTTCGAAACTTCCTTTTCATTTTTTTTAAATATGCAGTTTAATGTCAATGATTTGGCAACACCTGAAGCTTTCTGTATTTCTTGTTAATATTTGTTTACAAATCCAAGAGAAGGCCATTCACAGTAATACATCATAAAATCTCATTACTTACTGAACTAAGTAATGAGTTAGTAAAACACCATGTTGGGTTCATAGTGAATGTTTATTAACTTTTTTTAATGGAGGTTATGAGCAGAGCATATTTATTGGGGGAAAGAAAGCTTCTCTCCAAGAGAGGGACAGAAGGGAGGCCCCAAGTGGGTGATCCCCTTATGTTCATTAACTCTTATTTGGTCAATTTCCCATTTTTTAAAAGTCTCTTTATTACTGTAAGAGTATCTAAAATAATAAAAACACCATTAAGAAATATTTTATTTTCTTTTATCTGGCGGGAATTGAATCAGGACCTTGCACATGCTAAATGCACACTTTACCATTAAGCTACATCCTCAGCCCTGGCAATATTTAATAATTAAAGCAGTGCAATAATCCATTAAAATATTCTTCTATTTCTAGGAAAACTATTTCGTCATCAAGCCCATGGACCACTGCCTTCTGTGCGTGTGTGTGGTGCCCCTGCCTGACCAGCTCTGCCGAGAAGACATCCTCCTGGGGGATGATGGCGGGTTTGTGAGCAGATTCACAGTGAATAGTGATGACTTTGGTTTAAAGCAGGCAAAAATAAAAAAAAAATTGCAAAGTCAGATCTTAGACTCAAAGAACTTCAAAAGGTAAGAATGATCCATTTGCTTTGATAATTATAATTGTTGTTTATTTCATATTATATACAGTGGAAAAAGGTGCCATCTTATGCTGGAGATTTGAGAGTCAAAGCTGAATAAGAACAGTTTCTTCCCAGTTCACAGTATCTATTTTATATTTTAGATCTTACTTATGTGTTCGTTTTTTCACACTAGTGAGACAATAGCCTGTTTTGAAACTTAGTTTGACTGTTACGTTTATTTTTAATTTTTTTTTAAAGGAAGGAGCAGCAGGGATGGGGGAAAGGAGAAAAAAAAGGAGGGGAAATATATTGGGATAATTGTACAACTGATTTCTATAGGTTTGTTGAAAGGAACAGTTAATGCTTAATTGTTTTATCAGTCTTATATGCCTTTATCTGGATCTGAGCAACTATTTTGAAGATAACAATATGTAATATATCAACTATTGTTAATTTCTTATCACCTTGCTTTGAAATTCTGTATCATTCTTACTGTATTTAGTTGTTTTGTTTTTGATTTTGTGATTGTTTTGGGGATTTTTGTTGTTCTCTTTAAAATAAAATTTTAGAAATATTTTTCAAAAAACTGAGCAAGGAATGTATCTTGTCTCAAGGGACTTCCAGTTCAATAGGAAAGATGGACATGAAAATTACCAACTGAAATTCTTTTTAAAAAATCTTTTATTTATTTGGTACAGGGTCTCACTACGCAGCTCGGTCTCATAGTGATCTTCCTGTCTCAGCCTCCACAGTGCTGGGATTACAGGCATGTGCCATCACTCCATTTCAGTGGCTGGCATACATGCCTGGGTTTCCAGGACTAGTGCACAGGGGGTCGAACCCGGGTCCTTGTGCTTTTCAGACAGGCGCTTAGACCACCAAGCTATTTCTCTGGTCCCAAAATTCCTTTTTTAAAGTGATACTGGCAAATGAAACTTCCATATACTTGAATAAAGAGTTAAATGAATTAAATCCTGAAAAATCTACACATGTGACTATTTATTACCACTCTCATATTAAAGATTCTAAACATCAAGGACTGGCCAAATAGCTCAGCAGATTAAAGCAGCTTCAAGCAAGTGCAGGGCCCGGGGATTAAATCCCTGGGCCTGCCCTGCCAGCCCCGCCCCGGGGTACACTGAGAAGGCAATTGAGACTGGGTGTGGTGGTGCGTGCCTGTAATCCCAGCTCTTGGGAGGCTGTAAACAGGAGGATCACTACGAGTCCGAACTAGTAGTGAGACCCTGAACACCCTGTAGATCCTTCCCTAAAAAATAAAAAATAAAAAATAAAAAATAAAAAATAAATGATTCTAAACATCAAAGCAATGGATATAGAATTCAAAGGAAAGTTTTGATAGATTTGACTACATACCAACAACAACCTCTTGGACCTCAAGATATCCATTTAAAAAGTAGATAACAAACTGAAATGAATGTCCACCACAAATATCGCAGAGAATTGATTAATGTTCTTTTATAGGTCTTAGAATTCATTAAAAGCAATAATTCTCCAAAGGAATAATGAGAAAGGCCATGCCCAGATAAGATACATGCTCACACACATATAGCAATAAATAGTTCAGCAAGCATGCCAAAGTGATCACCAGACAAAAATGCTAACAGTATCACCAACTGATAAGGTAATGGTTGATTATGATGGCTTCCTTAAAGTTGAAATGTCTTCCAAGGTTTTACAGCTAAGGTATCTATTACTTTTGTTTTAAAAAATATGGTTTTTATATTAAATTCTACTTCTCTGTTAACCATGAGAGTACAACTTAAAAATCAGGTATCATTTTTCACTTATAGAACTGGAAAAGATGGGGCTGGGGAGATAGCTTGACAGTCTAAGCAGCTGCCTGGCAAGCACAAGGACCTGGGTTCTGTCCCCAGTACCACATGCCAGTGCTGGCCCCAGAAATCCAGGCAGCTTTGCCAGTCACCAAAACCATAGTTGTGCACACCTGCAATCCCAGCACAAAGGTGAATCACTTTGAGTCTAAGCTACATAGCAAGAGCCAGTACCAAATAAATAAAAATATTTTTTAAAAAAGAAGTGGAAAAGATTACAAATAGGAAGACCCTGTGAGATGGGCCTACTGGCACACTGTTGGTGGTAGAAGAAAGAGTCAGGTGAACCTTTCCAGAAAGCAATTGAGAAAGATGCATCAAGCACCCTCATAACATTATGCTTTGGGATCTGGGGTCCCTGTGTATTCTAAACCATAAGTATGGTTATAACAGCCTTATAGCTAATGGCAAATTATCTAGTGTACAACGGTAAGGGAGTAACTAACTTAAATGATTAACCATTTACATAAGTAAGCTATATAAAAATGGTATGAATTATATAAGTATTTACATATTTTATAAATATGTCATGCATATATAATATATTTACATACAAACATATCTTGCCTGCCTTTTAAAAAAATTTTTTTACCTGCCTTCTTAACACAATAGGCAGCACATCAGTGTCATAAAACATATTTTTTCTTCATGTTCCTAAAAAATATGGCATCAAGTGTGTTCAACGATCAGACCATAACCATATTCAATACTGTCATATATCCATTAAATTATATTTTGAAATGCATTTAACATGGACAATGTTTATGATATATTAAGAGAAATTATGCATCTATATGCACACAAATCCATTTTTATGAACACATATATCTATATGTTTTAGAAAAAAACTTCAATATCATGTATATCTGTGTTTAACATAGCATCCCACATTTTTTTCATTCCTAGTGTTAAAAGGAAGTTACATAATGACTGGGTTATGAAAGTCAAATATATTCCATCCCTAAATTGCTTTGGATCCTGCTCCTTGGACAGTGTCCATTCATTAGTTTTTGAATCCTTGAAGAGACTTGGTGACAATTTGTAAGTATAGCAGTCTATATTCATGAACATTCTATGACTTTCAGAAATTTATAGTAAGCCTTGGAAATTTTAAGAAAAATCAGATGTTAGATATTAACTATTCCATTTGCTTGATAAGGTTAATTGGATCTTTAGGAGGAAATTGAAGTCACTAATGCAATGTGAATATGATATGTCCTCCTCATAGCAATTTTGCTTGTTATTTCTATAGTCTACTGGAATAAATCAGTACAGTCATATTCCAAATATTGTAGTGTTGGTCAACCTTTATATTTTTTAAATCATTTCTTTATTAGCCTGTGAATATGATCTGTTCATAGCACCATCATGTGTTATGGAATGATGAATTTGAATAATATTCTAACTCACTTTCAATTTGGCTAGATTTTTATTAACAACTAGAAAACAGCTACTGCATTTTAATTTTTAGTTTTCAAATTCCTGAAGATATATGCTATAATAAGTAGACTTTAAAAACATTGTGCAAAATTATAGAAGGATGATAAAAGGACTGTGTGTTGTATGAATCCATTTTTATTATATGTTTAAAATTTACAGAAACAGAAAATAGGTCATTGGTTGCCTAGGGCTAGTGATAGCAACAAGAATCCCAGATGGACACAAGGAACCTTTCTAGAGTGACGAAATATATGGTTCCAAACTTTTGTGTTAGTTATTTCACAAATGTACCAGTGAATTACCCACTTTTACAAATGGTGAATTCTATGGTATGTGTTTTATTTTATATTATTATTATTATTATTATTATTATTGTAGTTGTTGTTAGTCTTTTTGACACTGGGTCTCTTATACAGTTCAGGCTAGCCTTGAACTCACTTTTATTGCCTAGGCTGGTCTCCAGCTTGCATTGATCCTCCTGCCTCAGCTTTCCAAAGGTAGGGATTACAGGCGTAAGCCACCAAGTCCGGCCTATGGTATGTAAATTACACCGCAACAAAAATATCTTTTAAAAAATTCATTGAGACTTCTGGTTTCCAGTTTGGCACATGAAGAACTTGAAGTTGTCACTCTCTTCTAACAACAAGTAAGAAAGTGAACAAACTGAAATCAACAACTCTTTTTCTATGGTTGGCTAGGTGAGATCACAGGGACATTTTGCTGCCTTCAAAAGAGGGAAAGAGGGAAGCAGATATGAGAATCACCATTTACTAGAGCAGAAATCCATGAGCAGAGACCCCAGAGCCAACAGTATCACAGTAGAAAATCCTAATCTATCATTGACAGGTTTCTGGGTACTCAGCATGGACAACTGTGAGAGCCAAAAACTTGAACCCAGGCATGGCTGCACACTCTTACACTTCTAGCACTCTGGGAGGCTGAGATGGGATTGTGAATTGGAGCTCAGTTTGAGCGACGCAGCGATTTAACAAGACCCTGTCTCAAAGGAAACAAAACAAAACAAAATGAAGTAATTAAACTTGGTGTAAAGGTACTGGGCTCAATCTCTAGTACTGAAAAACAAAAAACTTGACAGATCCCCACATTTTTGTGGCTTTCACCTCTAGGAACTCAACCAGATTTTCACAATAAATATTAGAGAAAAATCTTACACTTCTGGCAAGAACAGAAGAATAGGAACTGTTCCAAAATACACCAGAGCATTCTGTTCTTGACAAGACCTGCCCACCAGAGAAACTATGTTCCCAGAGCCTGAACTATAGGATTTTCCAGAGAGGAGCCAACCTGGAGGAAAAGAACTACTCAGTTCTGGTAGACTATAGCCATTCAGGCTCAACTAAGGGCAAAAGTGAGAAGCAGTTCTAGAGTTCACAGTTCAAAGGCACAGGCTTACTGAAAGACTGAGACCTAATCACAGGACTGTTGGGCACAATGAACACCTGCCCCAAGAGCCACCTTCACATAACTAATGGCCTCTCACCTCGTATATCATACCTATCAGGAAAAAACTTAACACCACACTAAAAGAAGAAACAAAAACAAAAACCAACCAGAGATTAAAGAAATAGAGCAAGTACCAGCATGAGACTTAGACATGACAGGGATGCTGGAATTATTAGACAGGAAATTTTTTTTGAGAATTGATATGCTAAGGGATGGGATAGATAAAATAGACAACATAAAAAAAGATGTATAATGTAAGTAAAGGGATGGAATTCTTTAAGATAATCAAAAGGAATTGCTAGAGATCTACACATTAATGAAGGTGAAGAATGCCTTTGATGGGCTTAGAAAACTGGACAAGATTGAGAAAAGAATCTATGAGCTTATAGATACATCAGTAGAAGCTTCCAAAACAGAACTGTTAAAATAGAAAGAAAGAAAGAAAAAAAAAAGAATAGTCCAAAACTATGGAAGAACCACAAGAAGTATAATATGTGATGGAACAGAGAAAAAAGTGAGAAAAGAAGAAATATTTTAAGCAAAAATTACTGAGAATTTTCTCAAATTAAAATCAGACACATGGGCCCCTCCTCTGGTGAGGGACTTCAGAAACCTCCACCAAACTCTGCAAGAGGGCAGAAATCATGCTAAAGTGGCTACACAGCAGGCTGCAATCCTCCAGCAAAGTCTGTCTGCCAGGGGACTCTGATGATTTGTAATCAAATTGTGTTTCATTAAAGAGAAGGTGTCCAAAAAAAAAAAAAAAAAAAAAAAAAAAAAAAAAAAAAAAAAAAAAAAAAAAGAAAGAAAAGAAAATTAGACACAAAACCACTAATTCAAATATCTCTGAGAACACTTAGAAGAATGAATACTAAACACACAATACAACCAAAAAACAGACTGTATCTAGGAATATCACTTTCAAACTGCAGAAAATGAAAGACAACGAAAAAATCTTGAACAAATACAGGGGACAAAAATATTTTATCTAGAGAACAAAAAGGAATAAGGATTATATCTGATTTCTACAAGCAAAACAATTATCTGAAATATTTAGTGTTGAGGACGGAAAAAACCAACCATCCTAGAATTCTGTACTCTGCAAAAATACACTTCACAGGTGAATAAGAAATAAAATTTTCTCAGATAAACAAAAATGTAAAGAATTTGTAAAATGTCAATATCTCTGGCCATTAGAGAAATGCAAGTTAAAACTTTCAAGATTATGGAAAAAAAACTTTCAAGAACTAGTGAAAGAAGGTCTTAGAAGAAAAATAATATAAATGAGAAATTTATATTTAGATTAAAAAGGAAGAGTATAAAAAAGACAAAAGGTAATTAACTTATTTTTCTTATTCTTAACTGATATAATAGGTAACAGATTGTTCAAAATAATATCAAGGATGTCTTTAATCATGTATACATGTATGTATATATATGCATATGCATAATAAAATAATTATAAAATCACTTACCAAGGGACTGAGGGATAGAATTAGTATTGCTTTTGTTTTTTATGACGCATTTGCCTTCCTAGTGAAGATATATATGTTATTGAAAAGTAGATTCAGATTAGTTGAAAGTACTTATTACCAATGCTAGGATATCTACTTTTAAAAGATTAAAAGAAGAAACAAGGAAAAGAGAAGGAGAATTGACATTCAGGAGAGCAGAGCAAATAGAGTAATATAAAATGCTCAATTACAACCACAAAAAAAAAGAAAAAGAGTGCAAGAAAAATAGAAATATATAACATAGACAAAGAATAAAAAAGATTCTATCAGATTCTATCAATCAGATTCTATCAATAATCACTCTAACTGCCAATAGTCTAAATACATTAATTAATTATAAAGATATAAATTGAAATTTACTTAAGAAACGAATGCATATTTATATCTAATTTGATTTCATATGGTGAAGGCAATTCTTAATATATTCATGACTGCAAAGGAACATTATAAAAACACATGCAAGTATAATATGCCCTTGTAGTCACATATTCTATTTCAACATCTAGATAGTTTTCATTTCCAAGGTATGCAAATCTAAAGCCATGATTTTACCAAGGGAAATATTTCCAGTAAATTGAGCAGGATAATTATAACAGGCAACATGGCAACTAGACACTAATAATAGTCACATAGCTTAGCTTTAATCCAGAAACAAATCAATTCCTCCACACATATTCATTAATATATGTAAGTCATTACCTCAACTCTAAATGCTCAAAAGGGAAACAAGAGCTATAGACATAATATCAGTGGCAAGCCAGAGCCAGCTCAGGTGGGTTCAAATATGAGAGTCAATTTCAGGAATTTGGAAGTCTGTTGTTAAACACTATGATTACTACTAAAATCAAGTTGCACAGATTCACAATTTAAATATATTTTAAAAACATGATTGTGAGTGCAATAAATACTCAAATCCATCATTTCTTATTTATTTTACTATAATTTGCTAGCACTTATTTTCTCAAGGTTTTTCATACCTGTGGAACGTAAAAATACTACACAATGGTATCTTTTCCCAGCCACATGTCAAAGACATCTTCCTGGGTGCTTGAAATCACCTAAAGGAAAAATAAATAGTTCATGGAAAACAGCAAACAGCAAGAAGCAGTGACGCTTCCCACTTCCTTTTCCTAACAAAATATGAAACATTTACCAGCACAACAGCACAGAAGATGATAATTAACAATGCAGAGCAATGTGTTAAGGACCATTTAAAAGGTTTAAAATTATAGACACAGAAGCCATTCGAGAAAGGAGGTGATAAGTGGCAGCCCTCCCTAAGCCAGACAGATAAGCACAAGAAATCTTACAGAAGGACTGCACAAAATGTCTAACAGGGATTTCATTAAGACAAGTTCCAGCTGCCACAATAAACATACTAGGCTTGCACTTAGCAGGATGAAACAGCTTTTTGTCTTCCTTCATAATGTCTTTCCACTATGAATTCAGTTGCCTGATGCTAATGCTAACATTATAAAATAAATCAAGAGATTATTCTGAAGAATATTGATAGGTTCTTACAGAACCTAGAATTTATTTGTTCAAAAACTCGAAGAATCTTTCTTCTGACTTTGTGCCTTTCCTTATCAGTTCTTGAAGACTCTTAACTCCCAGTACACCAAA